GTCAGGAGCAAAGCAGGACCTTGGCAGCCGCCCCTGCCACGTGCCCACCTCCTTGGGATGGGCTGACCAGTGGGCCGCCTCCCGTCTAACTCGGCCCCCCCGCCCCGTCACCCCATTTCACACACGGGATACAATCCAGCTCGCAGAACTGCCCGCCGACTCTCTGCCTGCCCGCGCCACCTCCCTCAAGTGCCAGTAAACTACTTGGGTCGTTTACACAGCCAAGTCCTCTCTCCCAGCCAGGCCTTGGCACAGTGGGACCTTCTGCCCAGACAGCCTCCTTTGGCCATGGTTTCTCAGCGTCAGCAGGACTGACCTTCAAGGCCGGCTCACTCTGTGATGGGCACTGTTCTGGGAAAATCCCTGGCCCCCACCCACTATATGCCAGTGGTAGCCACCTCTGCCCTCCACGCGTACTCAAATCACGACAATCAAAAATGTCCTTAGCCCAGCCCGTGTAGCTCAGTGGCTGACCCTTGACCTATGAACCAGGAGGTCAGGGTTCGATTCCTGGTCAGGGCACATGCCCAGGTTGCAGCTGTGGGCTCAATCCCCGGTGGGGGGCATACAGGAGGCAGCCAATCAATGATCCTCTCTCATCATCGACATTTCTTTCTCTCCTAAATTCGTACAAGTTTACATGTTTTTAAAAAGTCCCTAGACTTGGCCAGATTTCCCCTGGGGGACAGAATTGCTCAAACAGAACCACGGGTGCAAAAGGGAAGACGGACTCCGTTATGGACGGCAGCCAACAGCCTGGATGACGCCCTCCCTCCGCCTCAGCTGTGCCTGGCGAGGCGGGCAGTGTCTGTGCCGCTTCGACTCCCAAGCGAGAACGGAGGCCCCTGGGGACCAGGCTGGGACCCTCTGGGGCCCGGTGTTGCCAGGCACAGGCGGGTACCTGTAGCCATCGATGAAGCTGGCGTTGATGTAGTCGGAGCCCTCCACGCCCCGGATAGGCTGCAGGCAGACCCGCGGCCCCTGCGTGGCGATGTAGGTCTTCTGCTGCCTGTAGCCATCGATAAAGCTGGCATTGATGTAGTCGGAGCCCTCCATGCCCCAGATGGGCTGCAGGCAGACCCACATGCTCTCGTACGGCATGATGTTGACCAGGCGGTTCTTGAACTTGTTACAAGGCAGGTTGGCACTGATGAAGCGGGATGTGTGGGCTTTGGAGTTGGCCAGCCGCTGGGGAGCAAGGAGGAGGGGCTGGCATCAGAACAGCCTCCAGCCCGAGCCCCGAGGGTACCACGGTCGCAGGGACCAGCACCCCACACCCTGTCCCCATGGCTGGGGGTGATGTCAGTCTCCGCTCCTCGGCCCTTTCCCACCTTGAACTCGAGCTCCATGCCGGTGACGTGCTCGCCGGGCTCCACCTGGGCCAGCTTCTGGATGTAGGCGTAGAGGCTGCGGGCGGGCACCTCCGTGTTGGGCTCCACCTGGGCCAGCTTCTGGATGTAGGCATAGAGGCTGTGAGCGGGCACCTCCGTGTTGCCGCAGCCCACGGCCTCCAGCAGGGCCTCGTGGATAAAGCTGTACTGGTCCTCTGTCTGCACCATGTAGTTGCACTGGGACCGAATGAGCATCATGTGGTTATACACGTCCACCGTCTTCTCTGGCTTGAGGCGCTCCAGCATGGCGTCGATGAAGCAGCCCGTGCGGCCCACCCCGACGCTGCAGTGGACCACGACGGGGCCGGCATGGGGGCGTTGCAGGTCTTGACTCTCCGTAGGAAAGCCAG